TAATTAACACTATTCTTTTCATTATTTATAACATTCAAATAGCAAAGTATGAAGATCTGATCTCATCAGAAGTTTTTATTAATATACAAGATGTATTTGATCATGTTTCAAAGTCAAAAAGAATTCAAACTTTAAAGATGTTAAAACTGTCACTTTCTCTAATAAAATGAGTTAACTGTTTCATGTTCAAAAGAATTATACAATTATTCTTTGATGAATTAAAATAAGATAAGACTGAGATAAAATAGAAGTACTATAAGAATCTTCAATGATATCTGTTTTATTTGTAATATACACTGCATATCTATTGAAGAATAGAGAGATTAAAATAGTCAGATTTTCAAGCTATGTGAATAATATTGATCTATTCTACAGTTCAAAAACAATCAAAGATAATTTAAATATGATTGAAAAAGTAGTAAAGATAATCTTCATTAGAGCAGATAACAATCAAATTCAATTCTGAACTATTTGCAATAGTGAAAGCTTTCAAAATTATTGAAATAAAATCTCATAAAAGAGAAAATAGTTTGAAAGAGACATGAATATTTTCTGATAGTTAAGCTGCTTTTAAAAGACTTAGAAATAGTCAGATTCATGATAATCAAATGAATCTTGAACTGATTTTAAATTCTGTTATGAAAATTCAAAAGAGAAGAATATTAAAATTGATAATTCATCTGCACTGAGTTCCTGCTCATATGAATATTCATGACAATGAATTGACTGATTCAGCAGCAAAAAAAGAGTTCAGAATTAAGCAGATCTATTCAAAAAACAGTGTTCTGATCTTTTATAAAGAGAAAGATAAAAGAATCTTGTTTCAACAAGTGAAATGAAAGCTGGCAGAAACACAAGAAGAGCATACATTATTCAAGATTTGAGACAAAACTCAAGTGAAAATCTTGTTCAATTAAATATAAAGAGAAAATATTCTCATCTATAATTCACCTGAAACTAAAACATGGTTATTTCAAATCTTATATACAAAGATTTGATAATAGATTTTATTCAATGTAGTGCTCATTCTGTAATACAAATGAAAATTCTGAGTATATTGTAATGCATTGTGCATTATACAACAGTCTCAGAGTCAGATTGAAAGAGAAGTATTATTTAAATCAATTAAATATAAGGTTCTTATTCTCAACTGAGACAGGAATTAAATACTTAATAGACTTTCTATCAGAAACTCAAGCAGCTATAAGAAAATGACTGAATTCAGAAGTATCTGAATATGAAGAGATGGAAATTGATTAGATATAGTCTGTTAAAACAGCTATACACTATCTTTTAATAATTTTATTTTATTATAGTCTTTCTTTACTCTACTTGTTTGTTTCTGTTCTTTTCTATCTGTCTATTTAATATGTCTATCTTTAAGACTATGTTCTCTTTTCCTTTGTCATGATATTTTCAAATGATTTCAAAGTATCAGAAGGTGTTGAAATACTGCAATTTGTAAACAGTTTTTGTATTCTGAGCTGAAATTTTCTGATTTTGCATATCTGAAATTGATAAATGTATAATAGTTGACTCTATAGATATAGGAAAAACCCTGTGATTTAAAGGTTCTGTATGATAAAACTCATCATAATTTTCTCTAGAAAAATTAGTATTAGAAAGAGAGAATAAAAAAGAGAAAATTTATACTCTTAGTACTGTTAAGAAGAAAGATAATCTTGTAAGATAAATACATAATTATCTTACTATAAATATTTAAAATAAATATAATAATTGATGTCTGTGACTGAACTGCAGATAGTTGTGTTATACACAGTCTTTATATAATAGATTATCATAAGAAGTTATCTCTCTGAAGAGAAAAGCTTGAATCTCTTATAGACTTGCAAATAAGTGAACTATCTAAAGAGAAAGAATATGAACAGCATTTGAAGAGAATTTCTATAATAAATATAAAAGACTCTATTCTGATTTATTCAGATGGCTTAAACAACGAGAATTTGAATAGATTAGACACAGACATTGCTTATACTGAAGATAATATCAATTTTATCTCAGATTTCTGGAATTTAGACTGTGAATCTGAAGTCTTTGATGCTGAACTATTTGCAATAGTGAAAGCTTTCAAACTCATTGAAATAAAATCTCATAAAAGAGGAAATAGTTTGAAAGAGATATGAATATTTTCTAATAGTCAAGCTGCTTTAAAAAGACTTAAAAATAGTCAGATTTATAATAATCAAATGAATCTTGAACTAATCTTAAACTCTGTTTTGAAAATTTAAAAGAGAAGAATATCAACACTGATAATTCATCTACACTAAGTTCCTGCTCATATGAATATTCATGATAATGAATTGGCTGATTCAGCTGTAAAAAAGAGTGCAGAATTAAGCAGATCTATTCAAAAAATTATATTCTGATCTTTTATAAAGAGAAAAATAAAAGAATCTTGTTTAGACAAGTGAAATGAAAGCTGGTATAAATAAAAGAAGAGTATACATTATTCAAGATTTGAAATAAAGCCCAAGTGAAAATCTTGTTTAATTAAATGTAAAAAGAAAATATTCTCATCTATAATACAGCTGAAACTAGAATATGACTATTTCAAATCTTATATACAAAGATTTGATGATAGATTTGACTCAATAGAATGCTCATTCTGCAATGTAAATGAGAATTCTGAGCATATTGTAATGCACTGTGCATTATACAATAGTCTCAGAGTCAGATTGAAATAGAAGTATGATCTAAATCAATTAAATATGAGATTCTTATTCTTATCTGAGACAGGAATTAAATACTTAATAGACTTTCTATCAGAAACTCAAGCAGCTATAAGAAAATAGCTAAATTCAGAAATATCTGAATATGACAAGGAGGAAATCAATCAGATATAGTCTGTTAAAACAGCTATATACTATCTTTTAATAATTTGTTTTGTTACAGTCTCTCTTTACTTTATCTTTTCCTTTCAATTCCTTTCTAACTATATATTTAATGTGACTATCTTTCAGACTGTGTTCTCTTTTTCTTTGTCATGATATTGTCAAATGATTTCAAAGTATCAGAAGATGTTAAAATACTGCAATTTGTAAACAGTTTTGTATTCTGAGCTGAAATTTTCTGATTTTGTATATCTGAAATTGATGAATGTATAATAGTTAACTTTACAGATATAGGAAGAACTCTGAGAACTAAAAGTTCTCAGATAGATGTCATAGTCTCTGACTGCATACATCTATAATTGAAGAATAATAATAATAATAATAGTATATAATAGATTATTCTAGAGATTGGGAAAAAGAGTAAGAGTGTATATACTGTGAAATGAGATTTACTGAGTCTATGTAATATCTTCTTGAAATGAGAAGAGCTGAGAGCAGTAGCTGAAGTAGCAGAGATATTAGAGATAAGAGTAGTAATAGCAGAGATAGAAGTGATAATAGCAGAAGTAGTAGAAGTAGAGATAGAAGTGATAAGAGTAGAAGAACAGAATACTGAGATAAGTATAGACGATTAAGAGAAAGTGACAGAGAAAGAAATAGTAATAAAAGAGATAAAAAGAAATGTGAGAGACTTAACTCTATATAATATAAGTAATTTCTTTATTATCACATTCTTTAAGTTCTTGATTAATAACTCAATATTAAGATATTTACTATTATCAGTCGATATGAATCTGATAATATATGAAAATTCTATATAAATAAAAATAAATAAATCAGCATCTGTGTTCATGTAAAAATTATACTAGAAAAACATAATTAAAAGCTCACTGAGAAAAAGAATCAAGAGTGTATAAGAAGATGAAAAAGATATATTATTTATAATAATATATTCTGATAATTGTTAGAAAAACAAGTTCTACTTATATTTTATAATATATTTCACTTACAGCTAATAAACTGCTCAGTATAAGTACTATAATAATACTTGTTTTAAGAATAAGAAGTCATGATCAGAAACATATATAATATACTAAATAAATAGATAAAATATGTTAAATAAGAGAGAGAGTATAAATCTTGTAAATAATAATAGTAGTTAATAATAATAATAATAGAGATAATGATTAAAGAATGAAAAAGTTAGTAAATAAATAATATAATATAGTGAAAGCTTTTTTATAAGAGTTGAAGTAGAATACTAGACAAATCAGAGATAGACTGTATAATTATAAGTAATAGCAGTATGCTAATCTGCATGAAGCTAGAGCTTATATTATGATTATATAAGTGTAACTGAATCTAGTAAGAGAGAATGTAATTTAAAAGAATGTATAGCTGCTAAACAATAACACAGCTGCTTCTGAACATGCTTATGAATGTAAGAGACTCTAGCAGCCACTAATTAATTTACATATAAGAAGCCGGTGTATGTTTATAATCTTACACTGACTTAAGCAACCTTTAATCACATAGCAAAGCAGTAAAAAAATATAAATAAGACTGTAAGAGCTGCTCAACAGCAGATTAAAAAGAAGCTTAGAGATGTAAGAAAAACTCAAGAGTAAAAAGATAAAGAAGAATGAGCTGCTGTACAGCAGTAATTACAGTTGAATAAGAAAAAGATTAAAGAGTTCAAAAATCATCTTTCTAATTAGAAAAGTAGATTTTTAATTTTATAAAGAGTGATTAATTTACATTTTCAGAGCTCTGTCAGAGTGCTTATGAATTCACTGTTAAAGAAATCTGATAATATTGTAATCTCTAATAATTTAATAACTGCTTACTTACTGAATCTGTCTTTATTCAAGATTTTGTATTTCAAATGAGTTATTAAGTCAAATAAACATCTATAGAATTAGCTGTATATTTTTATGTGTAATTTTCTATATATATTTTTATCATATAATATATCACCTTAAAATCTAATTTTGTTGTTGAGATATCATTGAAAATATTTCATCATAGTCATGGCGAAATGACGGGTGTTGGGTGTAAGCGGGCGTTGAATGGTTGATCACGTTACATCGGTTCCCAAGTTATGACTCTTCATCTCTAGAATTGAAAATAGTTACTTCTCCCTTTTGTGATCGCGCAGCTCATGGGTGTTTTAAACGGTCGTGAAAACTCGGTGGTCAGGCACCATTTCTTTTCGCGATCTCTTACACCAAGGCAACTCAAAAACCGAGATTCTAATATGATTGCAGTTATAATAACATATGAGCCTGGTTATTCCTGAATCCATTCTTGATCTATGGGTGTCTACAGTTGTGATGAGCCTCAATGAGCCTCTTGACTGGCACTGCCTGCCAAACCTTATCTCGACTACACCCGTTTCCCCTTTTCTCGCTCTTTTCGATATACTCTGTGCACAGTTTCCAGTCTTCATTTTGATACCCGTCGGAAGTAAAACGATATTGCCTTTTAGACTAGAGTCTGAGTTTTATCCTCTCTTGCCTTGGCCTTACACTTCTCCTCCCTCTTTTGTTTGCCCGGCTCCAGCGGTGGATTGAAATGTTACGCAGCCGCTTTGAACTGGGATCGACGATACATATATATAAAAATGAGGAAATCCGGCTTAGAACGGCCACATCAGTAGAAGTTTCTTGTCCAGATTCGATGGCAGATTTAGACCGCTCAACCCTACTCGAGGCTTTGCAATCGAGGGACGTTTGGGTCTTCTCGAAACCCCACTTGGAGTTGAAGATCTCCATTGGAATGGAAAGCTCCTTGCATAGATATGACAGATCTGTCGACGGGATACTGAAGGAGATGAGGTCCACTTTGATTAAATCACAGGTCAAAGCCAAACAAAAACCTTATCATTGAATATCCCCTTTCTAACATATCAGTATAGCTTTGGCATAACCTTCAAGCTTCTATGGTATCTGCGAATGACGAGATTCTAACGAGCGAAGAAGGGATTGATTCCTTAAACTGTGTCTTTGAATTCCAACAAAAGTCAGGGCAGTTTCCACTGCATAAACCACCGCGGATGCCCCACACCTTACGTACCCGTTCATCAGCCATCGATCCTCCACCTAGTGTTCTCCGAATTCACCTTTGCGATATCTGTATCCACTTCAGCTTTTTGTCAAAATCCTCAAATACTACTTCGAAAGCTAGCTTCGACAGCATGCCTAGATGTACTAGCTTTGAAGATCTATCATCCATTCTCTCCCCACCAGGAGGTTGTCTTGCAGAGATGGATCCTACACTAGAGCTAGGCGATACCTGCCACTCCTCTCTTGGCGGATCTCAAACGAGAGTCCAAAGTGACGATGATTGGATGTCTCTAGATTACGACTCCCCTTTTTGTAGCCAGCAGACCTCTTCCATTTACTCTTACAGAACTATGTCCCCCCTTCAAACAGAACTCCCGCGAGTGCCCCCCAAAGCCACATATCAGCCATTCATGACACTGCTCAACAGTGGATTCTGCGCGTTGTTAGGCCAAACCACTCCTCAAACCACATCTAGTATCACAACGATTATTGAGACTCCTGGCCCCAGTTTACAGGAATTTGCTCCGAGTTTGTTCATCCCCGGGTATGATACGGTAAGTCTTATTGCGTCCCGGGCAACTGCCGGATGTGTCTACTTGTCTGACGTTGCCCATTTCAGAATATACGACAGCGCGCACATTTTATTCCCATGTTATCTAAAGGGATCGCCGCTATGCTGGACAACGTCCCTCAACCGGATGCCAGTATTCAATTAGAGAGCGCTGCGAGCGTTTCGGTTTTTCCTGAAGCGAATTATGAACGCGACGGAAGAACCAGTGATTTCACGAACACTACAAATACAAAATCAGGGCTGAAATCTCTTCTTTGGAGATCAATGCATCGCCGGCTTTTTACGCTCGTGGCACGGCAATTACCAAGCCTTACAACACCCTTGAAACCTACAAAGAACGGGACATCACAAACTACCATACCCTCAAAATCGCCACCTGATAGTTCCATAGTTATATCAGACCCAGTTAATGATCAGAGCCTCCACCCAGCCAGTATATCAGATACAGAATGGTGCTTCTCAGAGGAGAGCGATGATGACGATACCCTCCCCACACTCAAATTAAATTCCGAACCGAGTGATCGCGATACCTATCTCACCAACTCCTTCCAAATCCAACACTCAGATCCTGTCCGCATCATCAGCCCCTACCATGACGACGAACATGACCTCCTCGACAATATCCCCAACACAATCGAGAAACCGACCCCATTCTCATCCCCCACAATCGCCATCCTAGACGACGACCTAGATATTTTAGAACACACAGAACATGAAGAAATCCTAATCTTAGACACCCCCTATCTTCACCCTCTACAAACTGAATCACCCGGCCAATCATCAACGTCCCTCACAAGCACGACCAGAAGTACAATCACAGCCACGGCCACAGTAAAAGGACACATCCCACCCTCAGCCTCTCCACCCAGTAGCGAAATGGAAAACCTCGATCCATCTTCACCCGCCATGATCCCGGAGGAACTCCTTCTCTCCCCCACACTCCACCCCTTCAATGCTACAATCACAGATCCCCACAATGCCACCGACCTCTTTGATGCAAAATTACCTAGGTCTCCCCACTCAGATGGAAGCGGTAGCGGTTTTGGAGGTGAGATCTGGGATGCGGAGATGTTACTGCTATAAGCATCTAATAACAGGTAAATCCCATATCTAACGCGGGATATATGCTCTATTGCTCTGGATGCACCTCTCTTATCTTTCCATCTGTCTATTTAACTCTTACTTTGGAAGGGAGGATATGTATGTATTCGTATACTTTGACAAGATATTCCTGTATTATTACCATCTTTCCGGTTACTATTATTATCCTTAACTCAGTTTTGTTTCCTCTCTCATTTTCATACAGATAATAGAAAAGCCCCTGGCTGTATAGCATTCTCTCTCACTAAATACTTGTTTAATTTGTATTTTTTAATATTTGTCCATGTTGAGATTTAAATCAGAACAGTAGGTTATGAATGAAATTAAATATAAAATTAATTTCTCGAATCGTTCTCTAGGTTATAGCTAGCTAAGTGAAAACTTGTCTAAACGGTGTATCCAACCGAAGGCTCGTTGGTGCTTTGCATTTAATATGAGATCAAGGGATTGAAATTTAAACTCGTATCGGAAAAATAAAAGCGAAAAGTGGGGGGGAAGGGATGAGAGAGAAGCGCATAATGAACATCATTGCGCAGGTTGAGAGAAATAGATTTGGGTTAAAGAAAATCAAAACCAAAAACCTAGAGACAGTCTCCCGTCGAACAGAGCTTCCTCAATCTAAAAAATCTTACATGCTAACATAGCGATCACGAAATGAAGATAGATAGATATTGCTCCTGCTTTCTTTTATTCCGTCCTTTTAGCCTCCTCCGACAAAACTCAGAGTAATCATAGATATCAAAGCTAACGAGGAGGCAAAGAAAATATATTAAATGTTCCGTGTAAAACAGGCATTTGTTATGGTTAATTAGGGTATATATACGCAATGAACGGGATAATATATACAAACATATGCAAATGGAGGCAGAGAGGATAGTGTATGGGAATAAAGGAGGTGGCACGGAAGGTAGAGAATAAGCGAGGAGACGAGAACATTAAGGGGCGAGCCAAAAATATAGAACAAGCGGAAACAGTTAAGCTTTCCCCCCTTCGGAAGGTAAATAAACCGGGCGGGAAAAAAAAGGAGTAAGGGTGAGGGGATGTATGATCTAATCAGGCCATTTATGGATATATGTGTAGGTATATGGCGATAGGAGGACGAGGATATGGTGGGAAAAAGAATTATCAAGGGCTGGTGTATACATACCGTATAATGAAATGCACCGGTGCAAAAGTATTTTTTTGGGGGGGGGGGGGGAAACGCTAGCAGAAAAGGGCTAAATGAGGCGGAGGGAACATGATGATGGGCAGATGAATTAGGATAATCAGTGAAAATATGGATAGGTGGTACGGTAAGTGTAGGTAGGAAAACATAAATAACAATGGCAAAGAGACTATACCGTAGACAGATAGGAAAGACGACCAAAGCCAGCCGTATATGAATAAAAATGAAAACAAACCCCAATCCCAACCTGAGGAAACTAGCATTAAAACAAGAAAGAGCAAAGGGAAAGGGAATTGAAAGATGAAGACACGGACCAAGAGAGCAGTCAAACAGGAAAGAGAAAACTGAACCGCTGCATCATCGAGGAGGGAATTTCTAGAAAGATGGAAGACGGCCGTAGGGAAAACAGGCAACATGCTAGAATCGGATAGAACAGAGATTTCATCATTGGTGAGAGAACCAGTCAATATGAAACCAAACTTCCAAGCAAAACTCAAAACGTATAACATAAGCAACACATACACCTCCTTTTTGTATTTGCAAATGCCAGGAGATAGTCAGATAAATAACCCTGAAGACTATCATGGCTCTTCCATTACCTCATCAATCGTATGCGATATGCGTGTCCCGTTGGTTGGTCCACTTTCAATATCCATGTTTCCATTCTCCCCAATCTGGTTTTCAGGACTCCGCCCGCTGTGCTCTCCAATGCTAGCAAGTCCACCCTCCGTTGATGACTCTTCTTTCATGCATGCATTTTCCAATATATTTGTCCACTTCCCACTTGCGCCCGCGTGGCTGTGCTTTAGATGCTGTCTAAAATGGTCTGCCCGATAAAATTTCTTCGCCTGGTTGCATTCTCCAAATTTGTGCACGCTAGTCAAATGATCGATTCGCCGATCCCAGTCGGGTTGTGGAAAGTTGGCGAACTCGTCACCGCAATATCCACAGGTGTCATGGGAAGGTCCCGTAGGGGATTGACAGTTTGCGGAAACAGATGGGTGGAAAGCAGCTTCAACGCCGGATAATGCAGCACATGACCAGGAATGTCGCCGCAGGTGAAGGGAGTTTTGATGTCGCTCAGCCTCATTCTTATTTTTGAAGCGCTTGTTGCAAAACTGGCAAGTATATTGTTTCTCCATTTCATGAGCGCTAAAGTACGATCAATATTAGCTCATTTAGACAGAAAAAGAAATTTCTGTATACAATAATGGGGGGCTCACAGTAATTCCTCAGCGGTCTCGAACTTCTTCGGTTTCTTTGGACAACATTCGCAGATGTGAAGGCGATTTATCCGTGGTGGCGCAGCTTTGGATACACTCAGGTTATTCGGAAGCGACATATTACGGACGGGAGGCGCACTTTTCACGTCTCCCTGATGAGGGGTTCGCGACGATGCAAGACCGGAGAGCGATTTACGTGCACCGGGGCTCATAAAGCCTTTTTCATAAGAGGAGGCGAGATCTGTCGTTGGAGAGATTCCTCCAGGAGAAGGGCGATCGAAAGAGGACAAGCTGGTCATGCTGCTAGCTGCAGCAGAGAGTCCTGTGGACGATGCATAGGAACCAGTTCGCAAGCTTGCCGAAGACACTGAGGAGATAGAGCCATGACTTGGCTGGTACCGGGCACCAGGTGATGTGCAGCCATTGAATGGAAATCCAGATGTTCTACGTTGGTCTAGATCACCGTTGCTGGCGCTTGTGTGAAGAGCATGCAGTTCGTCCGAAACGGCTCCTCGTGGTGGAGATGAAGCTCTTCGTTTCATACCCTGTCTAGACAATGGAGACATGCCACCCAACTGAGATGGCCCGTGTTCATCAACGCTTAACTGCCTAGACTGCGCTGCTTCGTCTATTGGGAACTCTATATCTGAATCAGGAAAAAGATTCTGGTCATAACTACCCCTATTGGATCGACTATATAGGCTGGTTGCGTCGTCATTCGCATGATGTGTCCCGGGGGAGAGGTTCCTATCCCGGAAGTGATCGAAATCAATGTGATGAGGTGTGGTGCTATCAACACTCGGGCTACGACAGCTGACATAATCTGTCCACCCTGGCCGGGTCCCTGGCGATATTCCGGCAGATTGAGGTCCGCTTTGCCAGCGAGATGCTGCATCACGAGGACTCAGAGATCCATCTCCAATTGACAGGCTTGAAAGTCCATTTCGATTTTTTGAGTGAAACGGGAGTGTCGTAAACTCCTTTTGACTGAAACTCCCTAGACTGGCAGATAGGCGAGGAGGGGAGCTCGGTTTGCCTATTTTAGAGAGCAGGTGCTGATCATAAGCATTGGAGGATCGTTCTACACTCTTCTCGGATAGCGGTTTTTCTCCTTGTAAACTATTAGAACAAAATTGTATGTGCACATTAGCATAGAGTACTGTATGCGGCTTGTTTTGCTAGAATTGTGCATATCATGCGACTAGAGAAAGCCAGAGAGCAATGAGAAAAGAGAACGGGGAACATGAATCAGAACGTGGCCGAGGATTTTGTGAACGGGTTTTTTTTTTTTTTTTTTTTTTTTTTTTTTTTTTTTTTTTTTTTTTTCCCCTTTTTTTTAAAACAAAAGTGCTGGGATATACTGACCGTGGACTCGGTAGACTAGAAGCAGCTGGACTAGGGAAGGAAGTGCCTCTCAATGTCGAATATGAAGATCTGTTCCTCAATGATGACGGGACTTCGGCAGGCGACATCGCGCTGCTCCTTTTGATATCTCTGTCCAAGGTAACTCTCTCAGTTCGGCGGACCAGCTCTGGGCGACTGTGACCACCACCTACAAGGCTCGATGACGGTTTTATGGGAGGCAGAGTAGGTTTCCCAAACCCTCCTTCCTCGAAACTATTCCCCCATTTCCATCCAGAGTCGTGCCCAATTGCAAGATCTTCAATGTACCGAGGTGGGGGTAGTGGCGGCGGTGCCACAGGCTCTTTCGCATTTGGAATGGCCATTGGACTGGGTGAAGTCGAAAGAGACCGGAAGGGAAGATTGAGCGCTGTAGACTTGGAAGCAGGCGATCGACGGCGATCGTTGATTGAATGGTTGAAGTCACAGACGAGAATTGAAGGCGGCGAGCTCATGGGTGGATTACTATCCATACTCATCACATGAACCGCCACGAGCTGAGCATCGAGATCAGAGGGCCTGGAACAGCGAAACGGAAACGGGAGGAGGCTCGTTTAAGCCCGTAAAGGTGGGATAAATAGTGGCGACGGTGGCGACGGTGGCGATGAGAGACGGGCCCGACCTTGATGGGCTCAGCTAGAGCAGCAAAGTACTGGCTAAATAGCAGTGGTAGCCAAGCACGTAGCGAGATGCATAGGGCTTAGAAAACGAATGACCATGGAAGTGACCATGGAAGTGGAGAAAGGGAAGGGCAAGGGGGAGAGAATAGAGGTGAGAATGAAGAGGACATGAGGCAGCAGAGGATCGAACGAGAGAGGGAAGAGGGGGGTTTGGAGAGATTTGGGGAGATTTGGGGAGATTTGGGGACGAGAGGAGTGGAAGTGGAAGTGGTTGAAGTGGTGAAGTGGGCGGTGATGCTGAGATGTAGCGCTTGTGGTGGTGGGTTTAGCGGTGGTTTAGCGGTTCACGGTGGTTGAGGAGGAATTGGCCTGGGCTAGCTGGGGCTGGTATGGTACTGGTACTGGCACTGGTACTGTATGTATGTATTTATGTATGTATGTATGTATGTAGATGTTACATGTACATTATGGTTATATTGGTATTACTGGTTATATTGGTATTACTGTAATATGTTTACTCGAGGTATTTATATAAATACAGTACAGCCAGTACAGTACAGTACAGAGCACTGTCGGTTATATATCAGGGCTAACAGATACCTAGGTGAAATGGGAAATGCCGGCCACCAGCCTAGTTCAATAACCTACCGTAGGCATAACCACCCAGCCACCAAATGTGTATTTGGTAGGGCTGAGTCAAGGATACACAAGGCTTGTAAACCAACACCAAATTCTGACACCGTATTATATACAAGCGAAACATACAGTGCGCTGTTATGCTGGGGAGATTTTATTACCGGCGTTCTTGCTGAGGTGCATCACATCTTTCCTATCTAACTAACCCCCTCCCGCTCCTACAGGAACCAAAGGAGTTCAACAACTCAACCACTCATATGGCTTCGATTCCAGACTCCGATTTGTCGCAATGAGACTGCTTGGTTTTGAGGAAACTTTCCTATATCTGTAGATTTGGCCTGTCGCTGCTCCTGCAACTTTGACAATACTCAAGGATCTTGTTTCATCCGCCAAGTCGCTAATAGTTCATTTGCATCCCCCCCTAGGTTCCTTATTGGGTCTATAGGATTACGGAGGCGGCGAGAATAAACGGAGGAACCGATGAACAAGGCGCTATGTGACAGACAGCTGTCTATCTATATTCACTGCTGACTTAGAGGTGAGGCTCTCTATTGCCATGGGCACTTTCGCTGTTGCCTCTTATTTCAATCTCAATGATGATGATATTAGCCTTCCACCGGACATATCGGAAGCCCAATGGAAAGAAAGTACAATACATAATCTGGCAAGCAAGCCCGTAGGGGTGAAAAAGCGCACCACCAAAGCCGACCAGCCACCAAGGCGGGACGTTTGGATGGAGGCTGTGATGAATACCCTGTATAAATTACTGATCAACGAGTGAGAACGGACGCCGTTGTTTGTCAAAAACTCGGCTCCGCATTTTTGAGAAGCCAATTGTTCAGTTCATCGCTACCATATGGATAGCGGAACAAAATAGCTTTTGGAATGTGGGCAGAACAGCTGACACAGCAGCTGACAGAATAGCTGACGCAATAACTACATTGAGAGGTGTTGATTGACAAGAGTTATTCAAATGGCTTCTCTCTGTCCCACTGACATAGAAAGTGAGAACAGCAGCGGGCTTCGCGGAAGTGACCACTTTTTGGAGGCTGGCTAAGGATCGAATTTCTCGTATGAAATGGGTTCCACTCCGAGTCCTTGCTAACAACCCATGCCCCGGTTGCAACGGAATTTCGAGCTTGGAACCTTTCTCCTGATGACAGTCTTCCAGCCATCGATTCTTCCTTCAACCATTATGGCACACCAACTTTGAGGAATGCATGTGCTACGTGTGTGAGAAAGAAGAACCTTCGACTGAAGTCTCCATTGCCCTGGATTTCTGACCCATGGATCAAGGAACAATAATATTGTGCTAGTAGTGGAGAGCGGGTGATGACACCCTCCCGCACAAGACATGGAGAGCGTTCATACCATGCCTTACAGAGCAGTAGGGTTGGCCTTTCAAGCATTAGCGACTAGAACTACGACACGGGAACTAACCAACATTCAACAGAAACGACTATCTTCACCGCGAAGCGCGTTTCTCTAACCTACTTTGGGGATCCATCTAATACCTTGGGACCTGCTCGGCCCTTCTCTATTATTACCCTGGAAATATTATATTTTCCGTTTCTGGTATTAATAGGGAAAATTATATTGCCGTAAATGGTCCATGTAACTAATGCGCAGTTAAAAGGGGGGCCCCTATCAATCCCGCAAACTGCTATCATTTTGAAAAACATCAGTAATTCGTGGTTGAGAAGTTTTATTACATACAATCTTGCTTGCTTGTTTGATGGGAGGACTCATCGCAACAGGGCTGATATCCAGATACAGGTACGATTTTTTGACTGGCCAGCACATAGTTACAAGCGCAAGTGTGGTGTTACAGCCTTATCAAGTTTCGATAAGGTAATCAATAAACCAAGCCCTGTGGGCGTCCTACGACCCGTCGCCCTTGGAATGCCGGCAGCCAGCTCAATCACCAACGGATCAGACGAGCAAACGCGGATGAGAGGCAGGAGATAAAGTGTCGATACAAAAGAAATATGTTTCAAGGAAATTCCCAGTCTTGACCTACGCGGAGCTTCGACAACCCAGGAGAAACCAACCACCAAACATGGAAGAAAAAAGAGAAAACAGAAAAAGAAGAAACACCCCAATTACATCCCGCATTAGTTTCACTATTTTCCTTCGCCTTGTAAGGATTTTAAAACAGATATCAATCACCGTAACATCCAACACACCAACCACTCCTTATCAAGCCAAACAATCGACTGATCATCGCAGAGTTTTTTTTTTTTTTTTTTTTTGACTTATCCTGTCTCTTTGATCCCAGCCTTCATCAACCATTCCCGGCTGCTCCCAACTTAAAAACGCCGCGCTCTCCCTCGTAATAACACAGTCCAGCTATTTACCATGCCGCCACATACACAAAACTTACTCACTGCATACTACTCCGTAGCTATCATTGTCCGCAGCTCTACGGGCTTTCATGTACTTTTCCCTGTTTCCGTTGGCGAGGATGCCTATCACCCAAAATGCCGCGATTTGGGAATGATATGGAATGAGCCGTGACCCCAAGAAACTAGCAACTTAGGACTCGGAATGGAGCGTATTTGTCTTTGGTCCATATTTCATTCCAGTTGACTTGTCTGTCAGCTCTGTCTACCGAGTTACTCCACGCCTTGTCTACAGAGAGCAGAATTAGCTACTTGGTTTCCGGCGCATATAAAAAAGGAATGAGGCGGAGTGGTACTTCAGTACGTATTTGTATAGTACAACGCCCGTGGTACGGAGGACATATACTTATTATATGTACGGAACTATTATCATTGGCTCCTCATCTTATTGTGGTCAGCATGATATCAGCTTACCAAGTACCCCAGCTTCACGGATTTATCGCCCCCCATGGAAATTGAGAAACGCTTCAGCTCAGCAGGCTAAAATAATAGCGTCGTTTCTCACGTCGCTGCTTCGATATGGCCTGTAATTTATTCCAAGAATTCTTAGGATCCTGAGCTGCATGCCTAACAGGTATTGTAAGTCTGGGCGAAAGGTGGAGTTTAAATAAAGTAGAGTAGTTAGAGGTCCCTAAGAACAAGAAATAGTCGTCGCTCTTCCCCCTCCGCTCCGAGAAATTATTTCGAGAAACTCAACCACTCCAAACTGAACTCCTTCTCGCAAGCCTATTACGCAGTATACAGAAGATTCTCAGAGCACGGTTCCAAGCAAGGTTCGCACTGTTCGCAGCCACATGTCTGGAGTAAGCCATTAACCGTGCCATACTTACTCACTCTCTGTAGTGAGTGCGCCACAGCGTACGGAAAACCACACTGTAAAGAAAATATTTTGAATATAGTGATCTTCAAAAATTAATTAATAATCACCACCACATCTATCTATAATATAAAGATTATCTATATACTCATTAGAAGGTGTAGAATCCACTGTAGGTTGAGATTCTATAGAATTATCTTGTGGTTGAGTGGCTGTAGATTTTGTAGATTTGATTCCAATCAATTGAAGAGTCTTATTGAACATCTTTTTCATCTCATCTGCTCTATGGGTTGTGATCTTGCAATTGACATCCTTAATAGTGAGGACTCCACCTACTTGCACCTGTCTGTGGGAGGATTTGACAATTCAACATCTATTTGCTTGATAATGATCTGCAAGTTCATTCTCATGATGCATGTTCAATTCCACCTGAACCATGCTACCCTTGAAGATCTTGTTCAACCACCTTGTCAAACCAGGTGTAAGGGTATTCTTCACATCTTCTAAGGTCTTGACTGCTGCATTGATTTGATGACATAGTTTTGCAATCATCTCTGAGAAGGTTAATTGCAAGGAGGCAGTGGCAGGGTAAAGTGATTGCATACATCATCATCATCATCATATATGTTGAGATTCAGGGCATCATCAATGGTAAGAGGTCTCAATCAATTGAGAATTATATTGTGATTAACTGGATACATTTCACAGTCAGCAAAGCCAGCTCTCACAGTATCAGGTTTGAATACTTACAGTCAGACACTCTTCAGATTAGCAAGGAATTGTCTGTCATTATACTGCTCATATCTGTAGCAGACAGTCTCATTAATAATATTCAACTGATGAATTCATATCTTAATTGTCTCTTTCTGGCTGTCATTCAATGCTCAATTCAGTGAAATCCTTATAGTTCTTGATTTCTTCCTGTTGATCCTCTCATACAAGATGATATATAGAACTTTGAATTCTTGCGACAGAGACATGATTTTTAATTTTAAATTACTTTTATACACATCAACAGCTCTTTACAACTGCTCCTCAGTGTAATTAGAAGATTTAGACATGATTATAATTAATGATGATTATTTGAAGATGAAGAATGAAGATATTGAAAATATTTTCTGTACAGTGTGGTTTTCTGTATGCTGTGGCGCACTCACTACAGAGAGTGAGTAAGCATGGCACGGTTAGGCTCAAACCCTTACCTACCCAAAAACTCCACACCGGACCCCGCGTACATTTCTCCTCTCCCGCGCACTTGTCGCGTCATTCCCTGCCCCAGTGTGCTGTAGCCAGTTGGAATTCGCAAAATCGCAGCCACATCCTGATTTCTTGAAGAATCATTGCGACTTTGAAAGGTTAATTACAGCAGATCACGTTTACAGTGAGAACCTGGGTCGGGATTCGGCAGGATGGCAGACTAAAACAGGACTGCTGAAGGAGCGGCGGAGGGCTCACACTCACATCAGAAGTCGTCTAGACCGCCAATTGCTCTGCCTTAGCCTTTGGCGCGGAGGCATCAGCGTCGGTTCCTTGGGGCTCACGGGCGGCTGTAATGCTTATCTGGGTCGGGAGAGACAGTGGCCCACTTCGTTTTGTTGAGTGGGTTGACTGGTTCTCCGCTGACAGTCTGGGCTTGTGGCAGGTTAAGAAGAAAAAAAAAAAAAAAAAGAAAAAAAAAAAGAAAAGAAAAGAAAAAAAGCAAAGAGAACAGGAAGCTGACGGAATCCAATTGTCCCGGCATGTCGGACACCCTCCGTTCCGCTGAACGGCAAAACATAACAACAATGCTATTCGGCCGCGACTCAAATGTTTTTGAAGTTGGGGCATGTAGCCCTGGGCCTAGTGTCTGGCAGAGTTCTGTTCCTTTCTGAAAGTTCTCCACACGCCTCGCAGGGCGTCACCGAGCAGATCTCCACCTTAATTCTTGTTTTCCCTTTGGGTGGAGAGGTTACCCTCAATGGGGAGAGGTAACCAATTTCAAGACGAATGCCCTATCTCGAGGCATTCGTGAAGTCCGCAAAGCCCAACTGTCAACTCCCTCGGCCCTGGCAACACGCCAATCCATTACGATAATCACCCCGGTCGGGTCCGAACCCGTTATCTCGGACAGTTCCTGAGAAATCACTCAATCGCGAATGAAGCATGTTTGAAAAACGGATAATTACTCGCGGTCCCACTGAACTATCTCCTATTGTGGCAGATGTATTGCTTGCAAAAACAGAATTTTCCTAGCCCCCTCTGAAAATTAGTAGCGGAACACTGCAAAAATCAAAATATTCACATTTCTCTAGAATCATCAATACATGTCTTTTTCATGTGGTTCGGAAGAACGTACGGCCGCCGGATAATAACGCGGCCGCTTCCGAATACGCTTACGAATGTAAGGGCCCTAGCGGCCACTAGACTGGCCGGCGGGACCATGAATTTCACATTTGGTCCCATTTGGTCTTGGTCCCATACATTTCTTGGCATGAATCCCGCTGGGACTAGTTATTAAAAAAACATGCAAAGTGACTATTAATCAGATCTCAAAATGAGACTATAACTTAGAAAAATTAAGAAAGTGATTTTATTTAATCTTATTTAGTTTTATTCTTAGTATAAAGTTACTATTTTTAGAGATTTTAAAGTTCTTTTTAAACTATTTTTAATTTTTTAAAAAGTAATGATATTTGATAATACTTAAATAAGATTTAAAGTTATTTAAAGTAATAAAATGAATTTAAATTAAGAAGTGAAAATTATAATTTTATTTTAAAAATGTAATAAAAGTAAATAGTAAGTCTTATTAAGATAATATAAAAGATGTAAAGCTTGTATATAGACTGACTATATAACTGTGTCTGAGACTAGAATCAGATTTTTTAATAGTTTTATTATTAATTCAACTGATCTCATTACACAGTTTTAATATTAAATAGTAGTTTTATACTGTTTCAGTGAGACTTACTGTCTACTCTTATCACATTTTTCAAATAAGATCATGATTTTCACTTCTCAATTTAAATTATTTTTATTACTTTAAATGACTTCAAATCTCATTTGAGTGTTATCAAAAAGTGTTACTTTTTAAAAAATTAAAAATAGTCTAAAAAAAACCTTAAAATGTCTAAAAATAGTAACTTTATACTAAGAATGAAACTAAATAAGATCAAATAAAATCACTTTCTTATTTTTTTCAAGTCATGATTTCATTTTAAGATCTGATATATAGTCACTTTGCATGTTTTTTTAATAGTCAATCTCAGTGAGATTCATGTCAAGAAATGTATGAGATCAGATTAAATGAGATTAAATGTGAAATTCATAGTTTCAGCAGTCAGTCTACTTGAATAATTAAAAAATTACTATCTTATAAAAAGTTATATAATAGAAGAATTAGTAATTCAGATTATATAATCTAATATCTCTACTTATCAGAGTAACTATATATAATTAGACTAACTACTGAGATTATAAATTTCATATTTAATCTTATTTAATCTGATCTTATACATTTCTTAATATGAATCTCACTAAGACTAGCTATTAAAAAAACATGTAAAGTGACTATATATTAAATCTTAAAATGAAATCATGACTAGACTGACCGCTGAAATTATGAATTTCATGTTTAATCTCATTTGATCTGATCTCATACATTTCTTAGCATGAATTTCACTGAAACTAGTTATTAAAAAAACATGCAAAGTGATCATATATAAGATCTTAAAATGAAATCATGACTTGAAAAAAATGAGAAAGTAATCTTTGTAAGAGATCTCCGCCGAATAGATCGGTATAATATTGATAAGTCTTATATAATAAAGAGAAAAATGTTAGAGAAGAAAAGAAAGAGAAAGTGTAGAAATCAGTAATCAGAGTGAATATTTATACATATATATAATAATGTATACAGTGAAGCTTCAGAGTGAAAAAATCTATACACATTTATAACAGCTGAGAATCAGTGATTGAGAATGACTGAGAATCAGAGTGTATGTGTTCAAGAGTGAAGTAGAAGAATTTATGAAGTGTAATGAAATAGTCTATATAATTCATCAGATACAGCCTGTCACATTAGTCTTCTTCTTTCAGAAGCATTTCTCATCAGTCAAGAACTGCTGTTTCAGATAACACAGAACTCAGAGTTCAGATCAGTTGATTATAACTGACTTATTTTATAAGATATTATCAGCTGCAGCTGCAGAGTCTCTTATTAAGAATATTCTCAATCTCTCACTCAAGCTTATTATCTTCTTCTATGATGTCTGATAACTGTCAGTCAGAAGTCAGTTGAGAAGAGAATAAATTGATAATAGTGCAGTGAAGTAAGCTTGTATAAAATATATTATAAATCTCTGATAATGTGTTAAGATAGTAGTTATAACTATCTAGAATCTCTATCACTTTATATCTGATATAACAGTAATTCAGTGTATAAGATGAATATGTGATTTATATATTCTTAAGATTCAATTATATCAGATCTTCTATCTTATATTATTCAGCAGAGTCTTGATAGATATTGATTTAATTCTCTTAATCTTATTTTACAGTTGTTATGAAGACCTCTGCTCAATCACAGACATCTCAGAGCTTTATTACTATGTTATCAGTGATCTGAATTGAACTGCAGAGATTCAGTGTGAACTGTATAATCTTTAAAAGATTTAACATCTTCATGTGATAACTATGTATAAGAAAGAATGAGCTTATATCTATTGAAACAGTATCTTGATTATTGATAGTAATCTCTGTGTATAGAAGAAGATCATATCAATTATCTTATAAATGATTACAGAACTTACAGAGATAATTCTTCACAGTCTGAATTATTCATTCTGATATATCATCAGTCTCAGAATAATAGACAGTTGACAGATAATATATAATCTGAAGAACTTAATCACTTCTTGTTCAGAGAGTACTTATGAATTAATAACTCTGATCTGATACTATAGATCTCAGTAATTCATATACTTAATAGAATAAGCTCTGTAGAAAAGCTTTAGTAACTTGTTCAGTATTCATTTTATTATAAGATTTCAATATTATATCTTTACTTAATTAATTCACAATAATCAGAATGTTTCTACAACTCTTACTCTCAGATAGATTAATAGTAAAGTTAATTACTATATCTTATCAGATTCTATTAGAAATATTGAGTGATTTTAATAGATTTTTTCTACAGTTCTTTCATAAAATAATAGAAGAATAGTAATTACAGTTTCAGATAAAGTATCTGATACTGTTTAATATCTCAGATCAGTAGAACTCTCAGAAGATCATTCTATACAGTTATTCACAGTCTGAATAATCTGTTATATACAAATTATACATCTCTTGTATTATCTGAGTATATAAGAGTTCACAGTGAGAGACTCAGCATTATTTATGAAATTGTAGAGTGTTATTATTATTGATTGAATATTTTAAGATATCAGTTCTTATATATAGTTCTGAGAAAAATCAGAATACTTCTTGATATACTGCTTCAGTAAGTGTTTAAAGAAGTTCATCAGTTTAAGTTACTGTATATCATAGCTCATCTAATATAGGTTTAAAAG